TTTTTTTTTTTTTTTTTTAGACTTGGGGAACTCAGAAGCTGATCAAATATCGGGTTAAATATCGGTGGGGTGGCCGATGTCCGATATTCAGTTTTAAGGCCGATACCGATAGGGGGCCGATTATATCGTGCATCCCTAATCTTAGCGAATAATTTTATGCTATAAACAATAAAAATGCTGGACATTTTCTCACTTGTGTCGTATTTTATTTTGTACGTTCTATCAAATTAGAAACTACGTGTTTTCTGTTTGAACTTTAAATGAAAATCTCTCATTGAATTTTAATCATGTTCTTTGTTTCATTTGAACAGGAGCAAAACCTACGACATGCTGCAGTATTACCAGAACCAGATTCCTTACTGAAGGAAGCAGAACTCCTCCTCAGGACGTCGGTGGGAACCTGACCTCCTTCTGCTCCTCAGACTCCGGCGGCAACGGGCCACTTTAACCCTTAACCCTCCAGTTTTACTCTGCGCACTGTTAGCTATGGGATTTTATAAGGACGTCCATGTGTGTTTTAGAGAATTACTCCTTCTATCCACTCAAACAGGGATTCGAATCACCCTTTAACTGTTTGTGTTTTTCTGAAGCTTTTTGTTAGTTTACCAGCAAACACTAAAGCTTTACTTGCAGAATGAGGTCAAAAAGGGATTTTTAGTTCCTGCTGGTTTAAGTAGGAACCTCAGCTGTTTCCATTGAGTCGCTGTGCTGTAACCCACTTAATGCACTTTATAGACCAGTGTTTCATCAGCAATAGATCAGCAGATTCATTATAGATGGAAACAATCCAAGCAGTATTCTAGAAAATCATAGATAGATGTCGTTATACATGTGAAACTATACTTGTATCAATGCAGGAGTCATTCCACATTTATCCTTACAGTAGTCTGTAGTACAGTGAAGTGGTGATTTGCCTGTAGTGTGTACCGTAGAATATTTACTGTAGAGTGGCATCCAGATCACAGGCAGCTTTTTCCACCACCTACCTGTATTTACATGTTAGCATTAGTGTTTACCGGAGGAGCTTTTAGCCCTTTTGCACATTAAATGTCAGTGTTGACGTACAGCCGTTGAAATCTACCCATAACTTGGACCTCCAGAGCTCTGCTGCTGCTGCTGTTACTAACCCAGATGTTACAAAGTTTCATTAAAAGTCATTAGATCATTATATTTTGAAATTAAGGCCTTAATTGGCATTAAAATTCATTACATCTGATTATCATGGCATTTAAAATACTTAGTTAAAAAAAAATAATTTTTATACAAACAATTTCATCAGATATATTATATCAGATATAACTGGTTCCTGTTGATTGTAAACCAGTGTGTTCTGAACAGAAGCTCGAGGCAGAGAAAAAGCTAGATAATGGGAAAATGCAGTTTTCATCGAAAGTGGCTGGAAAAC